CTAGGACCAAGAGAAAACTGCTAAAGCATCAGTCGGCGAGTAAGAGGAATCTGTGCAGCCGCAAAGTCGTGCCTGGATTTACCCTGCCATACCCTGCAGTACAAAGAGAAACCTGGGAAAGCCTGAGTCCCTGTGTCGACGTAGCGGTCAGGTTCTGGAGGTGAGGTTCAGCCAGAGCTGACGCTGGAACTTCTCTGCCAGGGGCTCCCCGCAAAAAAATTCGCTCGAAATGTTACAAAATGTGTGTCAGTTGCTGTGTGCATTCACTTTTCACCCTCTGCCTCATACCCTGCTTTTTGGTGAAGAAAAGAGTGTAAAACCTATAGAGTTTTTACCAGTTTCAACAGGTACATTGCAAGCTACTGATGTATCCCAATGCTCCTTAGCACTTTCCGTATCCTTCCATTTGTCCACAAAATCTGGTGTCCGGAATATAAGTTGGAAGACACTTTCCTAGCGGAACCTGGACCACATCAACCGCTCCTAATGTTGGTAATGTTACGTTCGACAAGGCAAGAGGCCTCACAGCACAGTGGTTATGCCCATGGACTCGGGAAGCAGACAGCACTTCCACTCTCTGTGCCTTAGTGTTCTCATCTATAAAATGGATGTACTGAAAGGAGCCACCGCATAACACTGCTGTGGAAAATTAAATGAGTTAACATCCACAAGTAATGGAACAGAGCCTTGCAGACAGCAAGCGTTAGCTTCATTTTTATCCAGGACATCCCCGCCTGCCAAAGGCCAAACTATGAGGCCTCCAGCCAGGAGATAATGGCCCATTGATGATACCAACCTCTGTCTCCCAGAAACACAGGGCCACAGCTGGGCAAAACCTAGACTCACTGCCCCCCACAAGTACCAGGGGGAGAGGTGTTCGTAGGGTAGAGGAGAGAGGTGTCCACACGCCTGGTCTACTGAGAACGTCCTCTTCTCATCGGATGAAGTATGAAGTCAGTAAGCTGGTGGACAACCTTAGAAATACGAAGTAGAAAGCAGATTTAGTCATTCTCCAGATATCTGGTCCCATTTCTTCCTAAAACATGGAATGCCAAGCCATTATAAAACGGTTCCAGATCCTCCCCATGGGCCAAGTCATGCCTGAGCCACAGAGTAACAGTGTTGTGGAAAGAGCCTGCTGTGAGCACCTCTCTCCATGTCGGTATTCTATCTTAAACTAGATGATCAACCAACACTTACTGAACATCCGCTACAATCAGAGTACTATTCTCAACCGCTCGGAATCGTAAAGAAAATAATCGTAACTGGTTCTGCAGAAGCTTATTCATTCCCTGAGTTAACAAATATTTATTAAATTCTCACTTTGTACCAGGTACTGATCCAGGCATAGAAAAGAGCATGGGACACAACAGGTTAAAGCCCTGCCTTCTGGAGCACGTGGTGACAGAAGGAGGAGGACAGAGCACAAAGAGCTGGGTAAATTAAAGAGTAGGTCAGTTGGTAATAAGCTATAGGGAGAGAATACAACAGAAAAGGCAGGTGTCCAAATGGAGGGTGAGCACAGAATAGTTGGAGAGGGTATTGTTGGCACTCGTGAGCTGCGTGGCACGGGCACTATCTGAGACCCCGTTAGTCCTTCTCAGAGCCACCGTGGTGGGTGGGAAAAGGAATGAGGGAGTCTTCAGCAGAGGCTGGGTGGCCCAGGCAGTGGAGCAGAAGGGAAAAAGGGAAAGAGACTCAGGGCTCTGCAGTCCCTAAGAGCCAAGGTGTCAGGTGCTCCAGGGAGCATCAGTTGAGTCAAAGAGAGGGACCACAAATTCACCAGCCACAGACCTCTTCCTCCAAGGTTAGCAGAGCACCTGTGGCCAGGTGGGAAGGGGGCATTGAACTGGACTCTAGCAAATGCCAGCCAGGGCTCCCCAGGAACCCGCACGAAGCTAGGTGCCTCTCTCCCTTTTAGCTCCTAAGGGCCCCACCGGACCTCCCCTCTCCATACACCTGGGCCCCCTCCGGGAAAGGCAGGGAAGGGAGAGGGTAAGCGTGTTATCCAAGAGAAGCGAACACAACCTAAAGGGGCTATTTAATTCATCCAATTATGAATGGACTATGCTTTACCTGGACTACAGAAGTAATTTTCTCTTCCTACCCTGAGGGTGACAGCTCAAGGGAAAATCGGATCAACTATAGACAAAGAAATTGCATTTTCTCTGCTTAGTGGAAGGGGGGAGGGAGGAAAAGTGGAGACAGTGAATACAGAAACTCTTTTGAGGAGTTTTGCTGAAAACATGGAAATAATCCAGAAGAGGGAGAAAATCTGATGATGCAAGAGAGCGAGAATTACTAGTGCTGACGGGGTAGAGCTGACCAGCTACGAGGACCACTCACTCACTCATCTGTGGGAGGGAACGAGGAGAGGTTGGGTGGGTGACGGTGGTGGTCGCAGCGTGTAGACGTTCTCTTCTGATTGCTTCTATTTTTTCCCAGAATGAGAGTGCAAGGTCGCCAGCTGACAGCGAGGATCAGGATCGGGGAGGAGGTGTGGGGATTAAAGAGAGAGAGGGATGCACAAAAGACTGGCCTGGAGGGTGGGAGAGCGAATGAAATGATAAGTATCAGGATGGTTGGGGAAAGCTAAGTGTCACCCTAGAGGGTGTGAATTTCGAGTGAAACAACTGCTAGAAAACAAAAATTCAACCAAGTAAATTTGAAGATCTAATGGGCTTTATTAAGTGATGCATGAACTGGGCAGCATCTTATCTAGCAAGAGATCCTCCAAGGCCTTATACAAAATGGAAGGTTTTTATAGGAAGGAGGGTGGGGCAAGAAGTTATTAGCAAAGGAAAAGAAAGGATTATTTGGGGCCAGGACCTCTCTCTTTGTCTCTTCGGAGGGAAGGGACCAGCAAGAGCGTGATCACACGTATTGCAGCTTCTTCCCCTGGGGGATGGAGAGGGCCTATGGGACAGACTACCTCACTGGTACTGACCAGAAAATTCCAGACTGGTTGATTAAGATTACATTTCTGGGGAAGGTCGAAACCACAATTAGATTAGGTATTAAATCTGGGTTTGGTATCATGGGCTTTAGCACAAGTGACGCCATTTGGGACCCGTGGTTTTCCTCTTTCACACAACTCAACAGCTATTTGAGAGCACGCACAGAGTAGGCAGAGGATTCGACTAAACCAGCGTCGTGCTTGCGTCTCGTGGAGGAGGCAAGAGCCTGGGAGTCGAGGGTGCTTGCCTGGGAGTGACTACGATTGCTCCCAGAGTTTAAACTGGGTAAAGTGGGGAAGTGAGGACTTGAGGCAGCTGAGAGACAAGGAACAGGTAGGAGGAGCAACCAGCTGGACGTCCCAGGACGGATGGAGGATTGCAGGGGCCCGAGGCATGAGAGACAGTGAGCTAGAAAGACAGGCGGTGGAGGTCCGAATTGGGGACGACTGAAACGGAGATGAAGGAGGGCTCCGGGGTCCTGGTAACGATAAGGTGTAGGGGATGTCCACAGGAGCCGCTGCCTGGGATGGGGTGGAGGACAAGATCAACGACAAAAGGAGAGCCCCAGGCACTGCAAGCCTCAGGCTGGGTGTGGATTTTATCAGGAGTGTTTGAGAGAGGGAGGGTCAGGCACCAAAGTCCTCAAGAACAAGGGTGAGCGAGGAGGGGGGGCCCTGCAGAGGGCAGAGTCTGAGGAAGCGAGAGTCCAAGCTAGGTTTTAGGGGGGCTGGGAACAGCATTGATGAGGAAAGTAATGGGTACCCTCCTCCAAGCCTCCGGCTCCTGTGTGTGCGACAGGACAGCAGGGAAGCATGTCCCAAAGCAAAGCCAGGTTTCCGTTCAAGAGGCAGCAAACCTGGGGAGAAGTTGAAGACTGAAACCACAGTAGGGAGGGTGGAAAACTGCGAAACGGGTGTCCCACGGGGATACAGAACTCAGCACAGAAGCTCCAGGGCAATCTGGGATGCTTTAGGGCAGGGCTGGAGGGCTACAACGACTGAGGGGGCCGGGCTGGGCAGTGTGGGGGCCCATCAGGCTGCAGGCTCTGGATTCGGGCTGACCACAGTCCCAGTCCCAGCGCTGCCTCTTGCTACCTCAAGACAGTCTCACTTTGCTCAGGGTTACAATGAGTTCCTAAAAGCGTCAGGCTTCAACGGAAAGCACAGGGCCAAACCCGTCCTAGGCACTCAGTAAGCGCCAGCTGTCCTCATTAAGACCACAAAAAATTGACTCACAGATCAGTTTTAGTATTTTTCCCAGAATTTTAGTTCTTTCTGATGTTGGCAAATGCTCTGCTTGTTTAAGTTTATAAAATATTTTGTACATAGAAACAATATAGCACATGTTTAAAGACTCAAATGTACACATAAATACTTAAGCCTTGTTCTTGAAAATGAGTAGACACGGTCACGCCCGTAGATGTCAGAGTTAGAAGAGATGGTTGAAACGATTTGTTCAACGCCCTCCACCAGCATCTGCGAATTTACAGAGGAGGAGACCTGGGCTGAGCGAGGCTGGGCCTGATCCACGATCATCGCTGGGTCGTGGAGCCACGCCCAGACTCGGGAGGGAGTTTAGATTCCGGAAACTCCTCTCCTATTCTTTGGCACTGCGGCAGCCTTCCCTAACCGTCGGGATGCAGCCACCCGCCAAGGCCCCTCAGAAGGTCCCCCTCTGAACCCGACCGACAAAAGCGCCGGCGCCCCGCTGGGTCCAGTGAACAACCTCACTGGGGTTCAGCGATTGCTTGCCCAGGCCGGGGCAGGGCTCGTGCGCGGCGGCCGCCTCTCGCGGTCCAGGGGGTGGAAAGGGAAGCGCCCTGGAATAAGACGGGCCTAGGAAAGGGCGCGGGAGTGGGGCGGGCGGTGGCCGGGGGCGGAGACTGCGCACCGCAGGCTTGGGAGCGTCTCAAAGCGGACCCTGCAGATCCGCGTCCAGGCAGCGTGCGAACAGCTCGGGCGGCGTCGCCTGGGGCTCGGGCAGTGCGCACACGGGCTGGGCGCGCCCGCTGCGCGCGGGCTGCTAAAGCAAGCGCTGCGCCGGGGACCATGCGCTAGGCTCCCCAGCCACCAGGACGCGCGGCGGCGCAGGAGGACCCCGCGTGTGTCGAAGCGTCCGCCCCCGCGGCGCGCCCATGGGCAGCCCCTGGAACGGCAGCGCCGGCGCGCAGGGCCCGCGGGAGCCGTCCTGGGCTGCGCTGCTGCCGTGCGACGAGCGCCTCTGCTCGCCCTTCCCGCTGAGGGCGCTGGTGCCGGTGACCGCCGTGTGCCTGGGCCTGTTCGCCGTCGGGGTGAGCGGCAACGTGGTAACCGTGCTGCTGATCGCGCGCTACCGGGACATGCGGACCACCACCAACTTGTACCTGGGCAGCATGGCCGTGTCCGACCTGCTCATCCTGCTCGGGCTCCCCTTCGACCTGTACCGCCTGTGGCGCTCGCGGCCCTGGGTGTTCGGGCAGCTGCTCTGCCGCCTGTCGCTCTACGTGGGCGAGGGCTGCACCTATGCCACGCTGCTGCACATGACGGCGCTCAGCGTCGAGCGCTACCTCGCCATCTGTCGCCCGCTCCGTGCCCGCGTCCTGGTCACCCGGCGCCGCGTCCGCGCGCTCATCGCCGCGCTCTGGGCCGTGGCGCTGCTCTCCGCCGCGCCCTTCTTCTTCCTGGTGGGCGTCGAGCAGGACCCCGCGGTCGACGCACTCCTGGACCTCAACGGCACCGCGCAGCTCGCCCGCTCGCACGGCGCCTCGTCGTCCCCGCCGCCGTCCCCGCTGTCCCCGCCGTCGGGGCCCGAGGCGGCGGAGGCCGCGGCGCTGTTCAGCCGCGAGTGCCGCCCGAGCCCGGCGCAGCTGGGCGCGCTGCGCGTCATGCTGTGGGTCACCACCGCCTACTTCTTCCTGCCCTTCCTGTGCCTCAGCGTCCTCTACGGGCTCATCGGGCGGCAGCTGTGGAGGAGCCCGGGGCCGCTGCGACGCCCCACCGCCTCCGGGCGGGAGAAGGGCCACCGGCAGACGGTCCGCGTGCTGAGTAAGTGGCGCCACCTCTGTTCCCATCACACCAACCCGCGGTCCAGGCTACTCCCCTCCCCTGCTCTCCCAGCCCTCCGTGCCTCTTCCAGCCACGTTTCCTTTCGCAGTTCCACTGCAGCCTCCACCTGCGTGTCCTTCCCGTCTCTAGAGAAAACCACCTCCCGTCCCCCGGGGAGTTTTGGGGTAACCCCAGGGCGCGCCTGAGGCTGGGATAGCGGGGACCGGCAAACAGCAACAACTTTCCAAAGCCGCTGTGGCCCGCGAACCGGGCTGATCCGAGACGGTAACTGAGGCTCTGGAGCCAGCTGCGTGTCCCCGTTAGACGCGGCGGACGTGGGTTACCCACAGCGCTCTGGAGAAGCCGGGGGAGATCACAGTAAGATAAAATTTCTTTTCTCAGTGTCAGGTTATCGTGAAGGCTAGTGGACCACGCCCATATCAAAAATTCAAAGATTGCGCAGACATGTTGCAGAATTCTTTTCAACGGAAAATAGAGGCTGTGCCTCTGAAGTGGGTTTGTAGACGGAAGCCTGCCGGAACGGCTTGCTAGTACGAAGGGCACCTTCTGGTCTGTGTCCGGCCTTGATAACACGTATGTGAGCGAATATCGACGGGGTCTGCAGCCTGGTAGTTTTCCTGGGGTGGGGGTTTGGCTGGGTAAAAGTTTTATCCAATTTATTTTGCAGCTACTTAGTACTTCAGATGGTTTCTTGGGGACCCTTCTTTGTTTGCGGATGCTTCAGCTGATGCTCGTGCCTGTGTCTTGTTTTGCAGTGGTGGTGGTTCTGGCGTTTATAGTTTGCTGGCTGCCTTTCCACGTTGGCAGAATCATTTACATAAACTCGGAGAATTCCCGGATGATGTCCGTCTCTCAGTACTTTAACATGGTGGCTTTGCAACTTTTCTATCTGAGCGCGTCCATCAACCCCATCCTGTACAACCTCATTTCAAAGAAGTATAGAGCAGCGGCCTGGAAACTGCTGCTGGCGAGACAGTCCAGAGAGAGAGGTTTCCGCAGAAGCAGGGACACTGAGGGCGACACCGGAGACACGGCTGGCTGCACGGAGACCAGCGCCAACCTACAGGCCTCGGCGAGCAGCCTGGCCAGGCGAGCCGCCCCCTCCCGCAGTTCTCGGACTTCAGAGAAAACGGGTCTATAGGGTAAAAAGGACTAAAAGGCAGGGACTGACGCTGTAAACAAGAACTGGAAAGAGTGGTTGACATTTTGCAAGGTGGTCAGCAACTTTGTCAGCATGATTTTTTTTTTTTAAACCCAAGTGTGAAATGTAACCGTACCAACCTGTCTAGTTTTCCTTTCATGTCCCTCCTTGGGGACGTTCATTTTGGCCTCATGAAATCCCACATCACAAAATGTGCGCTGGGAAGATTTTGGAAGTCTTCATTCTCCTAGTCTTTGGAAATGTGATGGCTCGTTTTACAGTTAAGTGATACCGAGAGATGCTGCTGGAAAGACTGTCACCTCTGAGATCAGAGGCGTATTCTGTTTTTACGTTTGGAATATGTATGTAATGGTCTATGTATATTGCATATACATAGGAACCTGCGATAATGAGAATTTTGATCCAAGAAATCATTTAATGCCTTTATATGGCAGCAAAAATTTTTAGAAGCAAGTGAAAGGAATTCCTGGTAACCAGGGGTCCCGCCTCTCTCCTGGCTCGGAGCAAATCTTAAAGTTTGTCTTTCAGAACTACTGTGTATAAACAACTGTGTTGCAACCCACTCCTCCCTGAGACTGCCCGAGGGGCATTCCCAGTGCTGTTGGCCGTGCGGCAGCAAACCTGGCACCGACACTGAGGGCCGAGAGCTCCAGCCGGACTTCCCGACAGGGTGACTACTAGTGTCGTGTGTGCAGAGCTTTAATATGCCTCATTTGCCTCAGCTTGGTGGGATAAGCGTTGTCATCATTCCTGTTTTACTAACTGAGTCTTAGATGTCCCAAGCAGGCACCGATGCGTCTGAGTCTGGACTGGTCTTTAAGATCCTTAACCCACCCCCACACTGAGAAGTTGCTCAGGGCATCCGTTCCGGGATTTCATTAAAGGTGAAAGAGAATGTGTTGGACATTCTGACCAACAACTCTGTAACTTTGTTTGCTGCAGTTTAAAGCCTAAACCTATTTTCAGAGGGCTGCTGCTGCGGCGCCCAGTTCCAAAGGGCCTGGTTCACGCCGTGGTCTGTATGAGTGGCGCCCCCTCGGGGCGGGCAGGGCACAACTTGTTTAGTTGTCAACTACAAGTGGTTAAATCCGTAAACAAGCGTCTGCTCAACAGGCTGACGAAGTTCTGTTGCTTTTTCAATGATTAGCTGAATTCGCTGATGCCTTCAAGTGCCCCTTGAAGCGTCCTGACCCCCTGGTCCTGCCCTCTACTAGGGCGGCAGTGAAGTCTCTGTCGACGTGGGTTTCTCCCAGCTAGTGGAGACAGCAGAGAGTGGTCACCGTGTTCTGCACATTTTCGAGGATTATTTGAAAAAAAGGACTCTGTGATCAAAAATGGTCGGAAAACACTGTATTCTGTACCCCTTCCCCAAGAGTCACGACAAAAAATATCACGTCAGAGGCTCTGAGAAGTGTTTCGTCCGGTATTTCCTTGATTTATCACAGAAGCAAGGCCCCATCCCCCCTCTCCAAGACCTGCATTAAACCTGGCGGACTGAGGAAAACTGTTGGGGACACTGATGTAGGGTTCTCAGAGTGGAGGTGCCGGCCCTGTGCCACTCCTCACCTTGGTAGCACTAAGTAGGGACGTGTTGGAGCCACTGCCACACAGTCTTTCTGCTCACGACAGTTCCTGTCTAGGGCAGTCACGAGTGGCCTCTTCCCTGTGGAAGGTCATGGTTAAAAACCTTACTGATATTTTATTTATAGAATAATATTTTAGATATAGAAGCAAAGACCTCTCCTTTGAGCTTTCTTGTTCAGATTCTAGAAAAGAAGGATTCACATCACCCGTGTCTTAATGGGAGGGAGTGGGCAAGAGTAGAGAACTCAGTGCATCACATGTCATAAGGGCAGCTGTTGTGTTGTGAAACTTTCATTTCAATTATATATTGGTTGCTGTCTTTCCTGGTTCACAAAATAAAATGTATTCCTACAGTGGGTCATGATCAAAACGATTTGAAAAGTTGTTCTAAGAGCTAAAATTGTTCTCTGCCCTAACAGGGTGTGGAGTTCTGGGAAGACCCCAGGAGGCCGAGTCAGGGATCACTGGAGAGGGCCAGCTGGGCTGTGGTTTTCAGTCTTGAGGTTCCCTCCTCCCCAGGGACGGCATCATGGGGGCTGTGGCCCGGGACACACCCCACACCTGATCAGAGATGTGTGCTGCGCCCCTGCAAGGTTCTCTTCCACCCTCTCTGCCTTCTGCAGGCCACGCCACTTTTGTTAGGTGAGGCTCCAGCCTTGGGGAAGGGCCAGTGTTTCATTCATTCACTCGGCAAATATTTACCAAGCAACAGCTAAGTGCTAGACTTAGTGTATGACAAACACGCTAGAAAAATGAGTCCATGTCATGGTGTCCAAATCATTCACCTTTTTAATGGCATTTCTTGTTTGAAGTATGTAATTGTGTGGCATAGACAAACCACAGATTCAGCTCCCAGGTTAATGAAAGCACTCACATCGGATGGATCTGCAGAATATCAGGTTAGCGCTATCCACATGGACATTGCTTCCCTCTTCAATTGAGCCATTTCCCCTTCTGAAGGGAATGTTCACAGGCTGCTGCACAGCACCTGCTAGGAATCAAGAGTCCCCTGTGCAAGGTCCTCCGGGGGACACAAGAGCAACGTGGTAATGATGTTCAGAAGTTTGAACACGGCCTCTCCTGACCATGTCTACTCATGTAACAGTAACATTTGCCAGTATGTGGAAGCTTTTCATATGGAAGTGTTGGTGGTTGTCCAGGTCGGGTGTTTTAAGTGGAGCTTTAAAAAGGCATTTCTTGAGGCTGGCCCCATGGCTTAGTTGGGTTCCGCTCCCAGGCACAGACCTACACCACTCGTCAAGTTGTGCTGTGGGGGTGACCCACATACAAAATAGGGGAAGATTGGCACAGATGTTAGCTCAGGGCTAATCTTCCTCAAACAAAAAAGAGGAAGATTGGCAACAGATCTTAGCTCAGAGTGAATCTTCCTCACCACCCCCTCCCAAAAGAGCATTTCTTAAACATAGAGGTGAGGCAATTTTTAATTGTGAGCTAATTTTCTAGAGATTCTGAACTCTAAATACTACATAGACCCTGGTCAGCTCTGAGCAGCCTTCAAAAATGGGCATTTCCTCTCCTGGAATCACGGGAACATTTGTCATTGAACAAGCATGTGCTCCATGGGCACACTTTGTGGCCAGTCACTGAGCATATCCCTTACTCTGTGTAAACTACAAGGGGAAGAGAGAGGAAGACTCTACTCACCACCTTCTTAGGAAAACAACATGCACTTTTTTTTTTTTTGAGAAAGATTGGCCCTGAGCTAACTACTGCCAATCCTCCTCTTTTTTCTTTTCTTTTCTTTTTTTTTTTGCTGACAAAGACTGGCTCTGAGCTAACATCCATGCCCATCTTCCTCTACTTTATATGTGGGATGACTGCCACAGCATGGCTTGCCAAGCAGTGTCGTGTCCGCACCTGGGATCCAAACTGGCGAACCCCGGAGCCGCCGAAGCAAAACGTGCAAACTTAACCGCTGCGCCACCGGGCTGGCCCCCAACATGCACTTTTTTTTTTTTTTTAAAGATTTTATTTTTTCCTTTTTCTCCCCAAAGCCCCCTGGTACATAGTTGTGTATTCTTCGTTGTGGGTTCTTCTAGTTGTGGCATGTGGGACGCTGCCTCAGCGTGGTTTGATGAGCAGTGCCATGTCCGCGCCCAGGATTCGAACTGACGAAACACTGGGCCGCCTGCAGCGGAGCGCGCGAACTTAACCACTCGGCCGGGGGGCTAGCCCCCATAGTTGTATATTCTTAGTTGTGGGTCCTTCTGGTTGTGGTATGTGGGACGCCGCCTCAGCGTGGTTTGATGAGCAGTGCCATGTCCGCACCCAGGATTCGAACTGACGAAACACTGGACCGCCTGCAGCGGAGCGCACGAACTTAACCACTCGGCCACGGGGCCGGCCCCCCCAACATGCACTTTTTAAAGGATAGCAGATGCCTGTGCAATCAGGGCTAAAAAGTGCCAACCAGTCAGGGTGAACTGAGTGTGGGCTGGCAGGCAGTCAGGCGATGTTCTGTGTCAATCTCTTTCAAGGCACTCAGCTTGTTAGATCGCAGTGGCTGGGTCCCAGGGTTTGTATCTTGTTCCCTAAGGACCGACCGTGTTTTATGTCCCTTGGCATCTCTTGCCCAGGTAGACAGTGTGTGTTGAACTCAACTGGCTGCAAGGGAGGGGACAGAGATCTTCATCCCAGTGGAGGGACAGGGCATGGAGGTTGAGTAAGCAGACAACTGGGACATCCATTCTGAGCCACTGGACAGCACAAGGGAAAGCAAAAGACAGGAGCAAAAAATGGCACATGCGGGAGCAGGGGCTGAAGGGAGTGGAGGAAGAGCCGCTGAGGGAGAGGCGAGGGGGGAGGCGAGGGCACTGATGCAACCAGGAGCTGAAGCCTACAAAACAGATGGAGTGGGCTGCGGGAGGCTGAGCCTGGGAGGCCAGGGGGGACCAGTTATTTACTGTAACCCAGGGCATAGGGCACTCGTGGGGTGGAGCATGATGCTGGAGCAGTAACATGACCAGGTTCAGCACCTCCCGTCGCCAAGACCCTCAGCAACGTTGTGGCCTCAGAGCAGGGAGAGCGTCCCTTCCCCGACTCTCAGTCCCAGGCCCAGGCACTCCCACCTCATTTTCCCGCATCTGTACCAGCTGCTCCCCAGCCACGGCCCAGCATGCCATAGCAGAAGGGGCCACAGTCTGACAACTCCTTTCCTTCATCTTTGCAGCAAGTGTGCAAGTCCTGAAAATGTTCCAAGAATTTCTACTACTTGTGATGATAGGGAGATTAAAAAAAAAAAAATGATTGTTTTGAAAGGCAAATATGTGCAGGTTTCAAAGTTACAAAGTCTTAATTTTACTGTCATATTTATACTTGTTCTAACTGGAACATAGAGCAAAACCTGATCTTTCTTTGTTTCTGTCTTATGCCCACAATCATTGCTCATAGAGCTCATCAGTTGCAGTGAACATCAGTGCCCTTCCCTCCGCTTTTTATTCCCCACTTGAATTCTCTAGAGCAGCGGTCCCCAAACTTCAGCAAGCGTCAGAAGGACCTGGAGGGCGTGTTAAAAGCCGAGTTGCTGGGCTCCACCTCCCGAGTTTCTGATTCAGTGGATCTGGGGAGGGGCCTGAGAATGTGCATTTCTGTCAAGTCAGGATGCTGATTCTGACGGTCTGGGGACCACCTCTGAGAACCTCACTGTAGATTGTTGCTTCAGAAAATGTGATCCCCACACCAGTGGCATTAGCATCACCTGGGATCTTGTGAAAATGCAGATTTTCAGGCCCCACCCCAAACCTTCTGAATCGGAATCTGCATTTTGACCAGATCCCCAGGTGATTCCAATGCTCATTAAAATTTGAGAAGCATTAATCTAGAGACTGAGACCGGTGGCATCGAATCTCCCAGGGTTGGACCCAAATGTAGTTTGTAAAGCTCCCCAGGTGACTCCAGTGGGCAGGCAATACTGTGCACCATCAGTAAGCTCTCTCCCCTTCCCACCCCACCCCACTCCCCCTTCCCGCCCCTTTCCTTCCTTTCCCTCTGCTTACCACAGGATGAGCAAGAGATACAAAGACAGTGAACAAGGATACGACAGGTGGGTTTGGGTGGTGAATTCACATGAAAGTCATTTATGTTCCAGCAGAAGCTTATGACTGTGGTCCAGTAATGACCCCGGCTCCTCGGCCTTCAGTCCCCTTAACCTCTCCCTGTGGGCGCAGCCCAGCCCAGCCCCGACCATGCTGAGGTCCTTCCACCTGCAGGCCAGGCCCAAAGCTCTGTCTCATTTCAGTACCCAGGCCTCCACCCCGTCTCCTGTTCTTTAAAACGTGTTCTGATTTTCTTTTACCTCCA